GTTCCCACGACTGAGCTCAACCAACTCCCTCTCGTCCGGCTTCCTATGGAGTCAGCTCTGGTGAGAGAGTCGTGGGTGAGCTGAGCTGCTCAGGCAGTGTCTGGACGGGACGCCCGCCCGGGGCCCCTGGCAGCGGGCCACTCACTTGGACTTGGCTGTGAAGCTGCTCTCACGCACCCAGCGGCCCAGCTGCCTTTGATTTGGGGGACAGGCTATTTCCAACTCTCCAGAGTTGTGAATGTCAAGGCCGGAAGGGTCTTGGAGCTGGCGCGTCTCAGTGCCACTTACTGGGGGAGAAACTGAGGCCCAAAGAAGACAAGTCACACCCGCGCGTCCTGGGTTCAGATTGTGCCAGGCTACAAGCATCCTGGGCACCGTGACCAAACAGCCGTGGCTCACCTCTGGGTCGGAGGACAGTGCCAGCACTGAGCCCCTCCTAAACCACGGAAGACCGCACCTGCTCGCAGCCTAGGGCCGCCTTGAGCTGTAATGTACCGTTAGCCAAGGGACGCGCAGGCCTCAAGAGCCCAGAGAGGCAGAGGCCGCAGGGGACACTCCAGCCCGGGAGCCCCGCCCCCTCCCCCCCTCCCCGCCTGCCGTTCTGTTCCCACCCAGGGCCCCAGGCCAGAGGGGCGCAGTTTGCCCGAGGCGCTGGGGCCACTCGCTCAGCCGTGACCATGTGCTGTGTCCACCGCTGCCCTCCCCCTCCCCCATCCCCACTGACCCCAGCTGGCCCAGCTCAGTGCATGTTAACCCCCGTCCCCGTGTGACCCGCCTGGCTGGCTGGTGCGGGGAGGCCCCAGGGGCTTTGATGGTCGGCTCCGTCCCGCAGGGGCCGGCAGCCCCCAGGGCGTGCAGTGGAGGCGTCGCAGAGCCCAGGAATGACTTCACCCCTGCACGGGAGGGGGGGGGGGCGGCGCGCGCACGCGCTTCTCAGCTCCCCGGTCACCTGGCAAATGCGGCGCCGGCGGCTCCGTTGTCCCACCGCCAGGTCCCGGAAGGGCGCCTCCGGGGCGGGGCGGGGGCGGGGCCCTAACGGCGGCTCTTGCAGGACCTCGGGGCCCTGAAGATCCCGGACCAGTACCGGATGACCATCTGGAGGGGCCTGCAGGACCTGAAGCAGAGCCACGACTACGGCGCCCAGCAGCTGATCCGCTCCAGCAGCAACGCGTCCGCCATCGCCGTGGGCAGCTCCGGGGAGCTGCAGCGGCAGCGGGTCATGGAGGCCGTGCACTTCCGCGTGCGCCACACCATCACCATCCCCAACCGCGGGGGCCCGGGGCCCGACGAGTGGGCGGACTTCGGCTTCGACCTCCCGGACTGCAAGTCCCGGAAACAGTCCATCAAAGAGGAGTTCACGGAGAGCGAGATCAACTGAGGGGCCGGGAGGGCGCGGCGGGGTCCCCGGGCAGCCTCGCGG